AATATATTTAGTTCACCCTGCTACTTTAAAGTTCTTGAAATTAGGTAGGGTAAAAAAAGTCCATTTTTTGTATAGGGTATCCCTTCAAGCCTCAGACATGCATAGAAAAATGACCACCGAATTTAATGAAATTTTTAGCGTTTGTAGAGCTTTTAATCCTAAGTGTTCTGATTAAAGAAAATTTAAAGAGCTTTTATTTTGAGAAAGATAGACTCAAGATACTTTAAGTAGTAAAAATCAAAACCCCTAAAAAAATCGTTTTTTTTTGCATAATTGTAAAGGATAGTTTTTGATAGTTTACTTCACTAAAACGAGGTGAAAAATAAAATCCTAGACCATATTCATGTTCCTCATGAAAATGCACATCGAACAACACCAGACTTGACTTTAGTCTAAAGAAATTGAATTCCAAATATGTTCTAACTCCTCAATCACAACACAATAGTGCTGACCTTTATTGGATCCTTGTCTATTCATAAAAGCTGAATTCTTCTATATGATTCCCTAATATATTCGATAGCGCCTCACTTGCTCTACAATCCTAACGGTAGAAAACTCTCAACGTGTTTGATCTAACTAAAATATGCGCGCAACTTTTTTGAGTATATTATTTTCAGTAATGTCCCTTAAAGTGGTATGAGCAACAAATTAAATTTGTAGGAATGACTAGTTCTTCTGACTTGCATGAAACTTGTCGGGTTTGTAGAGTAAGTGTAGCTCTATCGATTGGATTGAGGAATCATATTGAAGAGTTTAGCTTGTATGAATAGTCAAGGATCCGAAAATGGCCTACATCGTTGTGTTGTTGGTGAGGAGTTAGAACATATTTGGAATTCAATTTCTTTAGACTAAAGTCAAGTCTGGTGTTGTTCGATGTGCATTTTCATGAGGAACATGAATATGGTCTAGGATTTTATTTTTCACCTCGTTTTAGTGAAGTAAACTATCAAAAACTATCCTTTACAATTATGCAAAAAAAAACGATTTTTTAGGGGTTTTGATTTTTACTGCTTAAAGTGTCTTGAGTCTATCCCTCTCAAAACAAAATCTTTTAAAAAATGTTGTTTATTAGAATACTTGGAATTAAAAGCTCTACAAACGCTGAAAATTTCATCGAATTCGGTAGTCATTTTTGTAAGCATGTTTCGAACAACAAGGGATGCTCTATACGGAAAATGGACTTTTTTTACCCTACCCAATTTCAAGAAACTTCAAGTAGCAGAATGAACTAAATATATTGGCTAATAGACTAAGGTTATCACTGCACCTCGTTATTGTTCTATATGTTCCCAAATTCTACTTGCATGAGAAATCTTGGGCACAATATATGACTTTTTCCAAGGGAGAAAAACTCATTTGGAGTCATTCGAATGATTGGGAATGAGTGAGAATGTCTTGGAATAGCTGCGAGTGTCTGAGAATGGCTCGAAATGGATGGGAATGGTTCCGAATGTCTTAAAATGAGTAAGTTTCATATAACTTGAAAATCCAGTTTCCTATTCTTAACATTGCTAGAATTGTTATTTTTGATCAGTCCCTATAACGTTTCAAGCTCTACGTGGGATATCCGTCATAACTCTACAAATCATATTTGGTGATACTCTTTATAAGTGTTTTTGAGCAATTTCCGAACATCTTTTATAGGTGCTTCTGGCCAATTCGGGAGCACCCTTTATATGTCCTTAAGTCTATTTGGAGGTGCCTTTTATAGATCCTGATGGATTATTTGACGGAACCCTTTATAAGACTTATGACTTATTTTAGGGTACCCTTTATTAGTTTTTATAGTCTGTTTGAATGTCCTTCATAATTTATTATCATCTATTTCGGAGTAACGTTCATAACACTTCGCGACCTATTTTGAAATAGCCTTAATAAGCCTTCATACCCTATCTAGGATTACTCTTCGTGAGTCCGTAAGCCGTATCCAGGAGATACACACATAGACCAGAATACCTTATGAAGGGATTCCAATTACGTCCTAAGGATCTATGAAGGGTGCTTCCAAACAGCCTATAAGAACCGATGAAGAGTGCTCATAAATTGCCAATAAAGACCTATGGAGAGTACCTTCGAGTAAGACATAAGAGCCTATGAAAGTACCTCAAGTCGGAGGATAAGAACTTATAAAGATACTCCAGAATAGGTGATGAGAAGTTATGAAACGTACTCCTAAATAAGACCTAAAGAGTTATGAAGGGTATCCCAAGGTAGGGCTTGTGAAATTATCAGAACTTCCTTAAGGTAAGTTATTACTGATAACTTAACTTACCTGTAAATTCGATTGAAAGTAAGTTTAAATTGTCACAGATAGATGTCTGCGAATGAATTCGAATATCTGAAAATGCTCAGGAATGGTTAAGGATAGCTGGGAATGGATGGGAATGCTCGAATAGTCCTTTTCTCCGTTGACCTTTTCACTATGTGGGATTATAGGATACCCATTTGTATAACCTTTTCTACCAATAGAAAAATTTTAAACATATGGTTCCTATATCATTAGATGCATATTAGATAATTGCAAAAAATCAGATTTTAATCGGTTTTTTTTTTATTAGAAATCGATTAAAATGACATGATTTTAATCAGAGTTTTTCATTTTTAATCAATTTAATCGATTATAATCAGTTTTAATTGGGTTTTAATCAATTTTAATTAATTATTTGGTTGTTAATCGATTTTAATCGGTTAATTTATTAAATCAATTTTAAAATGACTTAACAGGATTTCAGTTTACATGAGTAAGTATGAATTGAAATCGGATGTCGAAGTGTATCTGAGTTTGGTCTAGTGGTATATCTACTATTTGTCGACGCGAGAAGTCCGCAAAAAAGCATCTACGGTAGACATTTTTAAGTCAAAATAAGAGAAAAACGTGTTCTTTAGTTATCATGTTTAAAATCGATTAAAAAAACAACTAATCGATTAAAATTTATTAAAAGTCCAGAACTCTAATAAAAGTCTGATTAAAATCGTGCCATTTTAATCGATTTCTAATCAGAAAAAAAATCGATAAAAATCTGATTTTTTTACCATTAGTCTTAGGATATTGAAATCTTTAATCACTGAAAGATTCAGCTTGGTTGCTGAAGATCAATGTAAACGTGGAGTTTTCCGATGGAACTACCCAAATATGATATCAATACTTCCGTCTCAATTCTTCTAAATTTTTTCCCTCATACGGTCTCCTTATTTATTACATTACCTTGTTAGCTTCTATTTTTCTCTTTCTCTCTTTTTTTCTTGTCGTAGTTCTTTACACGTGTTACCTTTTTTCTTTTTGATTCCTTGTTATTATTATTATTACAAGCGACCATAGATGTAATAAACAACAGTGCATTCAAAAAAACCAAAGTCATCAGATAGTTTTAGCTATTCTTCACAAAAAAACATAGTATTTATCTTGATAAAAGTCACATGTTAGACGATTATAAAACAAAATATGTTACACTTTTATGCATGAATGAGCCCTCTTATTATTAGTATATGTAATCAAGCAATATATTTACATAGACGTTCGAATAACGATATTTTTTTTTCATGTATACCTATAAGCATTTTATCTGAATAAAGTCGATAGTTTGCCATATTCTGATCTACTAACAAATTTCTATTCATCATTAGAAATAAACACGTAAGTAGAATAAAGATTCTTTACACACTTGTTCCGTATATTCAACTAAAATAAAGAAGTGTTCAATCGCTATGTAGTTTCAATTTTTAATCTTCTATAATCCATTTCTTCGTAGCAATAGCAGTAAATATTCTGGAATTTCTATCAGCAGTGGAGACTTTCGTGAATTACCATCACCATAATTTTTTTTCATTTCCAGTGTAGCACTGCAAAATTATAGTAAAAATATCAACCATTGTGGGATTTCAAAATATGGAAATTTTTTTAAAGAGGCACGTAGAACTTTGCATGTTGCTACGAAAAAAGACAACATACAAAAAATCACTCAATATGGAATTTGTGTAGTCCCCCACGAGTTTTCAGAATATGAGTGTATTTTGACATAAAAATGATAGTATTCAATAACGATCTGACCAAATTATTTATTACGGAATTTCGTCATTTTTTTCGTTGTTTCAATACAAAAGTTGTATAGTCAAAATTTGAACATATTGTAAAACAGATACATTTATTTTCTGACTATGTAGTTTGTTGAACCATGTATTATACCTACTCTATCTCAATCAGTTTTCATTATCACGTATAGTTCAAGTTCATATGAAATATATTTCTAGTAAGTGAAAACAAGAAGTATCACTAAAATATGTTTATCAAAAATGTACAATTTTTTTTTTGAACTATTTGAATAAACTTTGTGTTCAACTTTACTGATCTCAATAACAGCATTAAGTGTACTTTTTGAATTGTTGGAGAGAGTTTTGTTGTCGTAAATAATGATGTAAGATTTTTCAATATTTTCAATTTCATTTCTTAATATTTCATGAAGGAGTATTGGTGTATTTTTTTCTTTAATTAAACTAACAAAATCATGTACATCTTTGCATTTTTTTCAAACTGCAACGTCTTGGTAAACCATTCTTTTGACACTTCAGTCAATACCATCAACAACACTAGAAATACTTAGGGCATACCAAAAGTAGTGGCGTCGACCCTATAAAATTTTACAGAAGGCTTGAGAAATTTTTTTCCTATATATTCTAATAGCCCAAGTCGTGCTCTATAATTCTACAATATTTGATAAGTCTTCAAGTGATATTATATTGGCAAAAATTTTGATGCACTAAAGTTTGCTGCAACTTTTATAAATTTTCACTTTAATAATAAACAAGAACTAACTACACATACAAAAAAGAAACAAACAAAGCACGTTTGTTTTACATGTAAAAACGCGGCTAGATATCAGAGAAGTTGAAAAGGTAAAGAAAAGAAAAAAAAGAGGAGAACAGAAATAATACATCCAAAATAATATAGCACAGCGTTTCCAACGTAGATCATAATACGATCAAAACTATTTACTTCTCTTCAAATGGATAAAGAACAGTTTCGTTTCTGTATTAAAGTGCGTACTGCACTTCATATTGAACCAATATTTATTCATAATGAATTATATACTATCTTTGGTGATGAAGCTCCCCCTCTCAGAACTGTTCAAAGATGGTCCAAATGGTTTCGTGAAGGTCGAGAAAAAGTTGAAGATGAAGACAGACCTGGCCGACCTATAACGGAGACAACATCTGAAAATATTGAACAAGTTCGCGATCTTATTAATGATAATCCTTATGTTACAACTGACAAACTTAAAGCATAAAGTGGTCTAAGCCGTGGCATTGTTCAAAGAATTGTTTCTGATCATCTGCAGTTGAAAAACATTACTGCACGTTATGTTGCCAAACATCTAACGAACTCTCAAGAGACTGAACGAGTACGATTATGCCAGGAAAACTTGTTAAAATTTGAACAAGGTGTTTGTAAATTATGTGATGTGATGACAGGCGATGAATCATGGGTTTATCACAAGCAAATCGGTCGAAAATCATCGAATGCCGCTTGAGTAGCAAGTGGAGATCCTGCACCAACGGTGGTTCGACGTAGTCGTTTTGCTCCAAGAACTCTGCTGTCTATTTTCTTGAGGTCAACTGGTCCAGGTTTAATTCATTCTGTTAAACGTGGACCAACAATCGATCATCAATATTATATCAATAATTGTTTGAAATCTGTTATTGATGAAATTAGGAATCAACGATCTTCCTTAGGTACCCAAGCAATTAAACTTCATTATAATAATGGAAAAGCACATATTCATGGAGATGTAGTCAATTATCTGGAATCGGAAGATGTAACAATAATGCCATATCCGCCTAATTCTCCAGATCTGGCTCCATGTGACTTTTGGTTGTTTGATTTAATCAAACAAAATCTTGACGATCAAGATGATTCCAAATCGTTGTATGAAGCTGTGATCAAATTTATGAAGTCGTTGAAAAAAGAAGAGTATAGAAGAACTTTTGATAAATGGATTCAACGAATGCAATTATGTGTAAACAAACAGGGTGATTATTTTGAACATTTGATGTAATAAAAACTTGATAAACTTGCTTCGAAAAACTTTTTTTTGTGAATCACTCACTATTTTTGCTATGTTTTCAATATTAAAATGTCACTTGAAGATTTATCAAATATTGTAGAATTATAGAGCACGACTTGGACTATCAGAATATATAGAAAAAAAATTTTCTCAAGCCTTCTGTAGAATATTATAGGGTCGACGCCACTACTTTTGATATACCCTAAGTAGTATATGTGATAAGCAAGAGAACATGTTAACATGAAGTGAAAATGAACAGAGAAAAAAATCACAAGTTCACTCGAACTTTTAATTAATGGAATTGCAACAAGACAAGACGTCATTAAAGATTCATTAATATATATTTTTTGTTGAAAATTCTCTAATCGAAAGAAAATGTAGTGAACAATATCCAAGCATTATTGCCTAATTAGAAGATGTCAATCATTTAATCTCAAAGTTTTAGCAGATGCAGAGAACAGAGTCTGCCACGAGTCATTTTCTATGTGCTCTCTCTCGACTCGAGGTGACACAATTGTAGGTCGAAATTTAACAAATACTGAATGATTAGAGGAGATTTGCTCAAGTTGATATAACTTGATTTTCATTAGTCAAAACAATGATAAAAATTAATATAGCCTATAAAAAGCTCAAGATGATTCGACCAAATAGAAACTTAAGAGAAGCACATTTTATCATCCAATTCAATTCGCAGGTGACTAGATTTGTCGCATTTCTGGTAGTAGTCGTAGTAATTAATGACTTGAACAAGTGTCAGTTTAACTGACTAAATTTCTCTTCTAATTTACTGTCGTATGGATTGGAGCCGTCTTGTAACCATTAGGAATGAATATGGCCGATAATAATCGGAAATTTATGAAGGACTTAGGTGATGTGTCAATCGATTTAAAAACCATGTAATAGAGAAGTCTATTCTACAAAAAGCTGCATATATAGTTCAAGGTAAAAACGAAATGTTAATGATAAGCATTCTCATATTTTCCATATATATATACAACATATCAGACAACTAGAAGACGTGAAAATTCAATGAAATACTTCTATACATAAAATCAAATGAATTTCGTAATATACATACTACTATGAAGATTTCCGAAATTATGAAAGTTAATAGTTTGATAAAAGCTGTCTGTTGTCTTTTTTTCCTAGAAAACTAGCACCAAAATACGAGAGAATGCTTAATAACAGATCCGACGTGTTTGCTCGCCCTCCTCAATTGTACACATCATCATAGAAGTGTTTTCAACAAGGATAAGGGTCGTTAACAGCTACAAATTACTCAATTTAAAATTTTAGATATAGATTATAAAAATTCGAAATATTTTCGAAGAAAATAATGATTATATTCATTCGACATTTTGAATGAGACAATATTTCTATGTCTTTAGTAGTATAGTTCCAGCAGTTGAGAAGTTCTATCGTATTTCAATAAATAACAGCGTTTAATTTTTAATAGTTTCTGTTTATGCATAGATTCGCGTACAATAAATATCGTCAATTTCGATGGATGCGCCCATAGTCAAAATAAATTCGTTTGGTCTTCAGAATATTATCAATTTCATTTACATACATGAACGAATTCTTAAAGAATTTGGCGCAATTAAGATTCAACTAAGTTCTGATTGTACATTAGCTTTGAAGAAACGTAAAATTTCACCAACGTCTACGACTACTCAAAAAATTACGAAATTAAATGCCGATGGATCAATTTACTCAGTTGATAAAATGGACGCTCAAAATTTATACAATGAACAACGGTCACCCATAACAGATGAAAAGACTTTTTGGTCTTCCCTTTCCAACTCAGATCATATATTCTATCCATCAAATGTTTCTATTTTACCAAATCAGACATTATTCTACAAAAAACGGCATCGGAAATATTTCGCAATTCATTCTATACCGAGACAATCACTACTAAAATTAGCCGGTAGCAAAATAGTCAATCAATTTGTTCCATGTTTAACAAGAACACATGGACCAGGTGCTGTTTTTCCTTTATCCAGCGCTCAACAACATCTCTCCTTATTAGTGTATCATCATCAGGGTAGCCCTCGTCATTGGTATATTATTCCTGCATATGAACGAGATGCTCTAACAAAAATACTTCAAAGAGAAAATTCTTCAATTTGTTTTGAACATCAAAAATTGTTGATTAATCCTCTTTTATTTGATAAATACCATATTCGATATCATAGACTTGTTCAGTATCAAAATGAATTTGTTGTTTTATCAGCTGGTGCTTTAACACAAAGTTTTACAGAAGATGCAAGTTGGAATGAATCGATTCCTTTCGCTTTACCCAGTTGGATTGATGATGGTCATGCTCATTACTCTGATTCAACATGTCAGTGCTGTATTAACAGTTTTTATGAACCAATAACAATTGATGTTACTTTATTTAAGCATGAACTTATACAGGAATATATTGAAACATATCTTAATATTGACAATGATGGAAGTACTTCAATTAATAAAGGTTAGTTAATCATAGAATCATCTATAAGATTTTAAGTTTTGAAATTTTTAGATTTTCAATGATGATAATATCATTGAAATTATTATATCAATTTATGTAATCATGTTTTCTTCAATTAATCGATCTTTAAATCATTGTAAGAACGAGAATTTATCCAATTCTGACATGGTGTTTAAAATCGTAGAGATTCATTCAGACAATGAGAATAGTTATCATAGTTCATGTACTTATATAAACACATCTGTCATATGAGTACCTTTCATGGGCTAAATGCCTTCATATGTAGCTTATATGTAACATTAACTGAGTTGAAAAGCATTTCATTTATGAAAATATAACAGGGTCCCAAAATTACAGGATCCACTCAAATTTTGAAAACAATAAAGCTTTCTACAACTAAAAAAGATTTTATTATCGAACTAATCTCATAGCTATGGACGCATAGTAGTAGTCTATCATGTGCTATATTGATTTGAATTTAATTAATTAGCATTGATAAATAAATTCAAAAACTTTCAAATTTCAGATGTCTCATGATTATAGGACCCCTTCCCCAAATATAAAAATATTGAGTTAATATTAATTTTGTCAAGTCAAATGATTCTTTTTCAGCATCCATTCGAAAGAAGAGACTCTCAGCTATATGCTGAAAAAAATAGATTGGCAAAAACTAATTTAAGTTTCTTATAGTTTCAGAAATTAAATAGTAGAAGAGTTAAATCTCAAACTTCTCACTATATATAGTTCAACAAAAAATAAACGAAAACTTATTCAATGTAATGAAGTTCAGTTTACAGTATATTTAAACTATACTATTGAACAAAGTATAAAAAGCCGCATAGAATACATATATTTTGACAAAAGACTTTGAGGATATTAGTAATTGTGAAAAGACATCCTAAGGATATTCGAAAACTCTTTTTTTCTAAAAATCATGTCAAAAACCTCTGTTTTCATGAAAAAGTCTCTGATTTCATATCAAAAATGCATTTCAGAGAGCTTTTATGAGATGACCAAGGACCATGCTCGATATCGAGGCACTGGTCAAAATTTAAATTTTTGATTTGATGTTCTCATCTTAATCAGCATCATCTGAAACCTCTAAATCCAAATTTTTAGCACATTTGGATGAGCTGGTGAAAAGTTAGCCCAATGCAACTTTTGAGGTACTCACGAGGTTACATGAAGGATATCATTAAAAGCCATCTCTATAAAGTTGAGTCATTTCACATGACAATAAATTAATGAAATATTTACTGTAATATACCAAAAGATAGAGCACTAAATGCTGAACAAAATGAGCTATTTACATATTATGTTTCAATGGTCTAATCCGGAGTTATATGTCAAATATTGTCCAGGATTGGTCATTTTTTTCAGTTAAAATATACTAGTCTTTTATAGTATATCGGTTGCCATTTTTCGAAAACAAACGGGACCAATCTGAATTTTCTATATTTTATGCAACTTTTGATCCTCTATAAAATGGTGAAAAAATATTGAAAAAAAGCTGGCTTTCGAGACGATATGATGCATACGCTGTCAGTCTTTTTGATGACCCTCTAATAGGACTTACACGATATTAAGCATGTTTACTCCGACTTTTTATTCTCAATTGGAGACTATTATATATGAATCGAAAGTACACATCAAGACCGACATTTTAATACTAAACATACAAGATTAAATACCACACTAGACACCTCATATCGAGCTACGAAGTCATAAGAGACTATCTATGACCATATTCAGGAACCATGACATCAGTCAAAATTTTATTTTTTGATTTAATATCTTCATCAAAATCTATATTATTTGATACTTTCAAAAATCAGTTTTTTTTTGTTTGAGATTGTTATATTGAAGAGTTAGACAATATCAACATTGATTGGCACTTCAATCGCTACTAAACAAAAGTATAGATTTGTTTTTGAAGACGTGCCACTCATAATTTGACAGAAAATAAAACAATTTTTTTTCAAAATATATTGTATGGTAGAAGGTTAAAAACGGAATAAAATGATCCATTCAAATATTATATATTATAATGTTTATTTTGTTTCACTATCCAAATATCTTATAAAGTTTTATAGTTGACAGCTAAGAATAGTGGATCTTTTAAAAATATATCAGCTGCTGCATCGTTGCATCTTAGCATTTGACAAGATAGTTTTCACATATACTACATGACTTTTCTTCTCTATAAAATAACTAGAAACATACAAAACAATATATATATCTTGCAGATAACAAATCATTGTAATAGTGACCTGCCCCGTCCATGTTCATATACTGCTAGGTTGGAAATAATATTTTGATAGAGGAGTACCGCTACAATTTCAAATAGATTTAATAATAAATTTTATACCAAATGAAAGCACGTCAAAAATAGAGTTGATTGGTGCTAAATAGTAAGAGTTATGAAAATCTTTTAATGTCGAACTTAAGAAATTTTGAGAAATTTTATACTTTCTTTGGGGTAGGATATTCAGATACTAGTGATTAAAAATTGAAGTAAAACGTTTTTCTTGGATATTTTTACATAGTTCGATAGAGCTCATCGAGCTCTACAAAACTATATATAGTAAAAAAATTTTAAGCGGGACTCTTAGGTTAAAATTCACTTAAAATTGTCTAAAGAATATACCAAAAAGCCTGCATTTTTTACAATTTTTATAGAGAAAAAACTTGTCTTCTTTACAATAAATTCGGCTGTTTTCCATTAATATTCTTATGTAAGATGTTTGAAAATATACTCATTCGATGCAGCATGGAAAACTGCGTCGAATGAGTATATTTTGAAACGTCTGAAGGAGTAAAAGTAATAAAAAAAAGCTAATTTTATTGAAAGTGCAGTGTTTTTGTTCCATATAAACATATGAGCTTTTTTTAACGTTTTTTTTATAAAGATTTTACAAATAGTTTTTCGAATTTTTTATCGCAAAAATGACTTAAATTTTTTTACTATATGTAGTTTTGTAGAGCTCGATGAGCTCTCTCCCACTATGTAAGAATATTCAAGAAAAACATTTTACTCCATTTTTAAATCACTAGCATCTTATTATTCTACCTGAAAGAAAGCATAAAATTTCTCAAGATTTCTTAAGTTTGACATTAGAAGGTTTTCATAGCCCTCAGTATTTAGTACCAATAAACCCTATTTCCCAGTCAGACAAAAATTTCGAAAAACGCGTTTTAACGCACAATCGGGAACCGCGACTGTGATCCATTCACGCCCATTAAAAAAATACACGAAAACGCGTTTATTGGCGTTTTTTGTAATTTTTTGGGCATCAAAACGACGAAAATTCTAGTTTTTGAGCGTTAAAACGTATTGTTTTTAAGTTCTAAAATAATACTACGTTTTAACGCTCAAAAACTGGGATTTCTGCCGTTTTGACGCCCAGAAAGTTACAAAAAACGCCAATAAACACGTTTTCGTGCGTTTTTTTAATGAGCGTGAATGGATCACAGTCGCGGTTCCCGATTGTGCGTTTAAACGCGTTTTTCGAAATTTTTGTCTGACTGGGTTTTGATGGGCTTTCATTTGGTATAAAATTTATTACTAACTCTATTTGAAATTATAGCGGTGCCCCGTATCAAAACTTTTCCAACCTAGTAGAACCTATATCCGTCTTCTCTATAGCCGTATAATCCCTATACTCCTATACTCCTATTTCCTATAGTGTAATATCTCCATAGTCCTATAGCCCTATAGTCCCACAGCCCTATACCCCTACAGCCATATAGCCCCACACCCTATACCGTTTAATCTTTAACCTTTGACTTTTAACCTTTGACCTTTAATCTGGAACAGACAGACAGACACACATACACACTGAACATGATATTAGTGGCGTAACTAGACCAGTGGCGACTCGCTGGCGGTGCCCGGGCA